GGTGGCCAGTGGTGGCCATCATAAATTAATCTTTGGCCACCCTACTGGCCACCCCAGTCCTTTAAGAAAATTATACTTTTACGCTTCATTACTACTAGAGGTCATACTTTCCTCAAATGACTAGGTTGGCTGATTTACACACTCAAGCACACGTGGTGGCCATCTTGGATTTTGACATGGCAACCTAATTATCGATAGGGACCTCGTCCACCTAGATGCAGCCACACATTAAAATGGAAGTCGGCTTGTTGCTTACCTTTTAAATTATCCAGCTCACAGGACAGCCGACTGATGGCTACGTCCAGTTCGCCTCTTTGCTCCCCAACAGGGGACAAAAACATCCCACTAACAACAAAGTTCATGCTCAATCATCCAGGTAAGGAGTTTACTGCTTGGTGGGGAAACAGTTTACTGGAACTCCTCTGACTGATGAAGCCCTCCGGATAGAGGGTGAAACATCTCTATTTAAAAAAAAAACTGTCCATATGACCCGACTGAGAATTATTGGATAATCCCACTAACAAGCACACAAGACGGCCAATCTTCTGAAATTTATCCCTGAAACAGTTCTGGTCAGGAAGTGGTTTAACCAGAGCTGAAAGAAACGCCGATCATCCATGGTATAGATATTGTGAAGATAAAGGTTGTAAAGACAAAATATGGCTAAGATTAAACTAATATACAGGTTTAACATTTTTCCAAATAAAAACATAACCACAAATAAGATAAAATGTGAATTGAACTAATGTGTAGTTTTGAGTTTCCCCTTCAAAAGACGGAGAAAGTGGACATATTATGGCATAATCTCCGTTCATCCATAGGTCCATAAACATTATCTCAAGGTCAAAGTTAAAACAAGGTCTTGTTTGCATCATAGCTTCTGATCTCATTGAGCTAATGTAACGTTACTTGATACACATTGGTAACACCACTAGAAGGCACGTCCAACAATCTTTTCATCACCTCAGCTATAAGTTCAAGGTCACAAATAAAGGTCAAATGTCATACAAGTTCCTTGCTTCCTTTGCATTAGAAGTGGTCTCCAGCTAAAGTATTTGGGTGTGCACCTGAATGACAACCTCAGCTGGAGCAACAACACCACCAGCCTGATCAAGAAAGCTCATCAGAGACTCTACTTCCTCAGGCGGCTGAGACGAGCTGGTCTGGGAAGCTCAGTCCTCACCTCCTTCTATAGGTGTACAGTAGAGAGCATCCTGTGCTCCAGCATTAACATGTGTCATGGAGGCTGCACAGCTGCAGAAAGAAAAGCTTTGCAGAGAGTGGTGAAGGCTGCACAGAAGATGTTGGAGTCAGCCTCCCCACCATCACAGACATCTACACCTTCAGATGCAGGAAGAGGACCACCTGCATCATGAAGGACCCCACTCACCCAGCACACACTTTTTGTGCCTTTCCTTTCAGGATGGAGGTTAAGGAACATTAAGTGTAGAACCACTAGACTGAGGAACAGCTTCTACCCTGAGGCTGTTACTCATGAATCTCTAATCAGGATTATCATTGAAAAAAATCACTGTAATGCCTCTTGATTGCTACTATCCATGCTGCTGATCTCATGCTGCTGATTTATTTCATGCTGCTGTGTTCATTCATACTCATCTGCTCACACAGACTCATGTTCATGCTGCTGTTGTTCGGCGTATTGTTTTTGCACTATTAGGTGTTTAGCGTATTCTTAGTTCATATCTTAGAAGATCTTATTACTGTTTTTCTTTTCCAATTTATACTTGTGTTGGATGTAACTGGGACCCTGTGCACACAATTTCATTCCACCACATGTACCACATGAGATGCGAATGACAATAAAGAAACCTTGACCTTAACCTTGACCTTGCTTGTCTGGGCCATAACTTCTGATCCACTTAAGATAATTTAATGACACTGTTTCCTCACCAGACGAGGGGTTGATTAATTTCTCACCACTCAGTAATATCAAACAGTCTTTGCTCTTTCAAGCCACATCTTCTGATCCAAGATAATTTAACAAAACTTGACACATAAGTGAATCACCACTGTCGCTCTATAATAGTTTGTCAACGGGTGTATAATGTGCCGTATGTGGTACTCTTGTTTAATTATTTCCCAAATGCATAAAACTTGTTTCACAATTAATTCCTGAGGAGAAGGTTTGACAGGAAAAAGTCAAAGTGGGAGCAAATCAGGTGGGGCTGAATGAAGTGATGTAATGCACGGTGCCGTTGTGTTTTTATGGATGCAGACGCACATCAGATGGTAGTCCTGCTGAGTCCCACTGGCACACTGACCTTTTACCCGGCTGGTGGGGAAACGTGGGGCGCCTTAATTAGTTTCACAACAGCAGTCCTAACCCTCTTCAGTCACGAGTCATCACATAAAACGCAGCAACCGCTCAGCGGCTCTACAGCACAATATTTGTACCATGTGACCTGATAAAGGTCACCGGGCATCAATATAAAGACCTATAAATCTGAGTTTTATCTCATCCTGTTATTAGGCGGTTATTGAATCCAGCATGTCACTTTTTAAATAAATTTAGCATTGATTGCTTCTGGTTTACAGGTGCATCTTAAAATCATCACCATTTAACAATCATCACTCTTATGTTGCTCAAAACGACTTTTTAACAGCTCCAGTTCTGAAAAACGGATTCTGGTATCGTTTTAAGATCAACCAAGACAAAACAATTAAACACAATAATGTCACAAAAACCTCTGCTGTGTTCTGTGGTTACAATGTTTTTTTTTTTCATTAGTCTCATTTTATAAACAATCACTAAATATCAGCCAAATATAATGACGTAGCTAAAAATCAAAACAAAAAAACTACAACAATCAGACGTGTCAGCTGGTGTGTAATTAGCTCTTTAAAGCATCGTAGTGTTTTACAATCAGAAATCAGCATTTATCACACACACCCTGTCAAATTAAACCACTTTACTTGTTTTATTTACAGAATGTCACCGTTATTAGTGAACCGCTGTGGTAGTTCTCTCTTTTGCCCTTCGGAGCTCCCATCTAACATTCCTGGCACCAGAGGCATTGCAAACGGAGTCTTTAGAGCCTTAGGCACAGCTAATGATTTTAACATTTTAAAGTAAATGTCTCCTTCTGCATTAAGGTTAATAAAGTCAGTTAAAATTGTAAAATTAACGGACAATGTTTGTCCGTGGTGACGCATTTCCTCCATCAGGAAATGAAGCCGTTTCAAGAGATTTTTCCTGCTGGTTCCAACTTTCACAGATATTGTGCCAACAAGGAGCATCATGTTGGTGTCACTTCTCTGTGTGAAGAAGCTCTCTGCAGTTTATTTCTAGTCAAAGGTTTTGAGTAACACCTTGGTTTAAAACCAAAGTGAGCTCAGTTCAGTCACTTTGGTTTTGATCCTTGGTGAAGAGTGAAGAGGGGGGCTTGGAAACACCCTCTGTGTGTCCATCCATATCAATGTGTCCTCTAGTTTACTTGCCTTGGCAGGGCGCTCAAATCTTCTGTGATTTTTGTTGGGGGGGTACGGAGCCAGATGTCTGTGTTGCGCGCTGTATGTAGTGTCAGTTTTCGAGCAGGGGATGGAGACGGCTCAGCATGAGGGTGACAGAACCCCTACCTCCATAGTCATAGCGTTTACCTAGCTTATCTGTATTGCGCGCCGCTAGCTTAGCGCTACATCATGGTAGGGGAAAAACTGCATATTGTGAGCTTGATAAGTTGAAAATTAAGTCGGCTACAGACTTCTAGACTATGCAGGTAGGTGTAAGAAAGGTCACTATCAAAAACTGGGTTCCCACATCCAAATTCAAGATGGCCACACACATGCACACATTTGTGTGTGCATCTAGCTGTGTGAGTGTCTGAGAACTGGCTACACCAACATTTGAGGAAACTATGCTTTCTTGTTTTTTTTTTATTGCTTAAAAGTAGTTTCATCAAATGATTGGGGTGGCTAAAGACTAATCTATGGTAGGCCAAGGCCACCGTTGGCCACCCCCTGGCTCCTCTGTTGCTCCTGGTGGTACTCCCTTCACTCTCTCTCCGCTGCCTCGGACAAACAAAAAATCTCCCTCTGTTCTTCTCCAGTGTAACTCCTTCCCACTTGAATATCTTGAACCATAAACATTAAGCTTTATGTGCATTATTGTTCAATCCCAGTCCAGAAAAACACTCTCGCACACAATTGACACTAAAATGGCAAAAAAAAAAAAATCGCCATTTGTATTTGCCTTGTTTAGCTTTTCTTATATAAGAATGATAAAATATAATATCAAATGCACATTCAGCTACATATTTTATTCATACTAGTGCCAGTGACTTTAGTTCTTTGTATCGTCATTAGAGCTACATGATGGAGCCAAAAAGCTGAATGTCTTCTGGGATGCACAGGGTAGTGTTTCCTCAGCAGCAGTGATGGTGATAATTTACTCCTTAGTAAGCCTGAGCGGCCTTATCAAGCTGCTCTCTGTCAGAACTTGCCACATAAGCCACAAATCGATGGCTGTTTTTATTCAGCTCGTCTTTTGCTCCAATCATTTCCTGCCTCTGCACGTTTCTGTGCTCATGTTTCCCACTTGGAACGGTGAGAGGTGTTTCCATGGGTTTTATTTCTCATTTTGACATTTATGTGCTGCAGCTTGATCTGCATTCAGAAGGTGGAATTCATGCGATGAGATACTTTCTATCTGTGGGATGGTCGGCGGTCTGATTTGCCAGCACAGCTGCGGTGGTCCCAGTGTTAGTTGTAGTGGGATTCCGGTGGCAGATGGTGAACGAAGAGAACTCCTTTGTCGTCTTAGTGAGCCACTTGGCCTTCATCATTCCAGTAAAGTATCGGTTTTCAGCCGCAGCAGCATGTTTCACCGCAAATTACCCTCAAGATAAATCTTGTAAACGTGTAAAAGCTTCTCCCCTGAATGGAGATTTAATATTTCTAGAAGTAAAAACATACCAGAATTAGCTTCAAAGTGTTTATAACGAGTCTTGAGGTTAATGTTGCGCACCTTGTTTCCCCCACAGATGAAGACTGTGAGTGTGGCGCTGGTGCTGTGTCTGAATGTTGGAGTGGACCCTCCTGATGTGGTCAAGACGTCCCCCTGTGCCCGGCTGGAGTGCTGGATAGGTGAGTGAATATAAACAGACCAACACTCGGCAGAAAGAGTTCAACTCTGAGGTTCCTTCCAGAGCTGCAGTTTTTAGGATTTTATGAAATAAACAGATTAAGTTATTAGATTTACATGTATTACATGTATTCTCTTCAACCTTTTATAATAATAATAATAATAATAATTAGGGATGCACGATATTGAATTTTTGGCCGATATCCAATATGTTAAAACTTATTTGGCCGATCACCGATATTGTATATACGTTCATTTGTCAGATCATAGCGCTCTTATTTAGGCTTATTTGCTACAAAAAAAATTGTGCAACAGCTGTAAGAGCTGGTGACATGTATTCAGTAACCGCCATATGATATGCATAGCACTTTAACTTAAGTATTTTTGAATTGAATTGAATAAATAATTTTATTTTAAAAAGTGCCTTTCAGGACACCCTTGGACACTTTACAGCAAGAAACATATCAGACAAGATTGTGTATAAACAAACAAACGCAGTGAAAGACCAACAGGAATAAATTGAAATATAAAATACATACAACTAAGTTAAGAAGGATAAGTTAGTCTAAAGAGATGTGATTATGGAAGCTCCCAACTTAAACCTACAGTAAAAGTTATGCCTCTTCTCTGCGCTCTTATTCAAACACAACACAAAAGATTGGTTCTTTGATTTATTTATTATTTATTAGAAACACATTCCAGAATATTTTTCTTTCCATTAAAAGAGGATAATGTTCAACTGGATCTTCCGTACTTTTGTTCAGGGAACAGTTGTCAAAATGTTTAAACGTTCTGTTGCAGTCTTTAGTTTTCATCATCACAAGGGGATAAAATCTCTGTCATAGGTAGAGTTAAACAAAACTTTCAGCTGTTCCCTCTTCAGTGGTCTCCACAGCGAGTCCTCCTCCTCTGTCCTTCCCTTGTTCCTCCCTTGCCAGGTAAGTAGCTCAATGAGACCAACCTGTATAAATAAAGGTTGAATGTCCTCTGCATCGTCTGTCTTCACTCCAACTACCTCCATGTTTTTTTGATGTCTCAAATCGTGTCCTGATAGACAAGGTGTGAAAGATCTTTTTTTGTAATGCCACTATCTACCCTCATGTTTCTACCCCTTTTCCTATCTTAAGATTATGATCTGATGAGGATAAAATGGCCGCGCTTTCTACAGTTGCAGCTTCGTGCACTCCGCCCATCTTTCGGACGACTGTACGTACATATTCGCGTTGTACCTCGATGCAATTCCAATAAAGTTTATTCTGATTCTGATGTCCTCTCTAACTGCATCCATATATCTCCTCGTCTTTTTGCCATCCGCTGCATTTCTAACATCCTTCTACCAATATACCCAGTGTCCCTCCTCTGGACATGTCCAAATCATCTCAGTGTGTCCTCTCTAACTTTATCTCCCAGATGTTCAACCTGTGCTGTACCTCTGATGATCTCATTCCTAATCGTATCCATCCTTGTCACTCCTAAGGAGAACCTCAACATCTTCATTTCTGCCACTTCCAGTTCTGTCTCTTGTCTTTTTGTCCATGTCTCTGTCTCCAGACCATAAAATAAAGCTGGTCTCACCACTTCTTGTAAACTTTTCCTTTGACCTTTGCTGACACCCTTTTGTCACAAACCAGTCCTGAAACTTTTCTCCATCCACTCCATCCTCCATGGACTCTCTTTTTCCATTTCTTTACCCCACTCCCCATTTTCCTGGACAGTGGACCCCAAGTCCTTGAAGTCCTGCACCTTTGTGACCTCTGATCCTTGTAGCCTCACTGTTCCACTGGCCTCCCTCTCATTCACACATGTGCTCTGTCTTACTACGGCTGACTTTCATTCCTCTTCTTTCAAGTTAATACCTCCACCTCTCCAAGTTCTCTTCCACCTGTTCCCTGTTCTTAAACATAACAAAAGTAAAAAACAAACCCAGGATTGAACTCTAACTCTTCTGATATGCAGGGCAATTCCATGAAAAAAATGACAATATTATTAAAAGTCTACCAATCCTTTCATGTCGCCTGCTGCTTTACAAGCCCGAGTTTTAAACTACGATAATCTTAATCTGTACAGATGACCCGATTTACCTTTTTTAGATTAAGAAATTATAGTTTTTACCGTTTTAGTCAGATCTTGAAATTAATGTTATGTGCAATCTCTGTCCATCCATCTGTCCTTCCACCTGTCCATCTGTCCCATGCAAAATTGCAAGATGGTTCGCATTCTTTAAGAACTCAGGAGATACGTTGTTAATGACTGTCAGCTACTACCACAGCACATCTTAACACATTATCTGTAAAATGGACCGAGTTACAACCTATTTTCTGTCTCTGCTAAGGTTGATTAACTGTGGCAGCCATTTTTTGTGGCAGGGTGGTAAAAAATGGGCATTTTAAACTATGTTTTGTTTTAAAGTTAATAATAAGTTATCAATTATTTTTGCATAGAGGAAACTGACAAAGTTGTCTGCACCTTCTCTAGCCATGTATCAATCTCTTGGGCTGTGCCGTTATTGTTTTGCATAGTCTCACATTTAGAAGCTTCCTGATTCAAACCTCATGTTTGTGGAGTTGATCTGTTCCCCTCGTGGATGCTTCGGTTAAGCTATTTAAACCTTTTATTCAAATATAAAGTGTTTCTAATAACTAAAATCCCTGACTGACAGTTGTCCTATCAGTGCCACTAATTTCTAAACTCTTGATAAATAATTTCTCAAAAATCATAAATCAAATCATTACATCAAATCTCAGGTTTTACTTTGCAACGTTTGGAATATTTTCTGATTTCCTCAAGGGAGCTCGATACATAAGACCTCTTTTATATCAATCAGGAAGATGGCACCGAACAAAAGACAAACGATCCGTCTCCACCGCCTGGAAACGTCAAAACTGTCGTTTAAACCTCCGGAGGAAAAAACTGTCACGAGTCAGAGAAGCGCATCACAGTTGGAGGATTGTTCCTAAAGTGTCACAAACTTTCTCTGTGGCTTCTGAGAACATCGCTGTTCTGCTTACGTTCCATGTGGATTGTAAGGCGATGCTGATGTTTAAGGGAAGAGGTGACCTTCTAGCGTTGGACCTGAGACCAACTGGGCTGAACGTCTTAGGGATGCTTTTAAAAGTTTTGCTGATTGTTTTTAGTGAAACCAACCTACTGTCAAAATTTGTCACATTCTCTCTTTAAAAAAAAAAAAGATCATAGAGGACTCTGCTGCATCTTTACATATAAGATATTTTTGTAGAGGTTCTAGGCTGAGAAGAGCAACAACTAAAGTTCACATTGAATTTGTGAAGGTGAGGAAACTTAGTTGTGAATCATTGTTTTGGTGATTTTTACATACAAACTGTACCCTGAGGGGTTCAAGGACTGGTGTACGCTTTTCAAAATAAAAAAGCTTGTTGACCTTTTTTGATGTTCCATGAATGACCAACATGTTGCTGCTCTCCCGCATGGCAAGTATTCGGCTCATTCAAAAGATGGTTCTGTTAAAATGGCTGCACAGGCTAGTCCTTCCTCTAACGGTTCATAAATCACAGGCGAAGCGTCCACATCCTGCTTCGTTGTGAGCTTCAAGCAGAACCAAAGGAGGCGGAGCATAACTCAGCTGGGCTGAAGCGGTTCGCCAATCAGTGTGTCGCATGTCTCCATCGTGTCATTTACTAAAATGAATTAACTCACTTTAGCGATCCTCTTTTTGGTCAACTATTTTTAAAACTAACTACAAAAGTGGATGTGCGTCATCGTCAGTATTCCTCCGTTAACAAATCTGTTTGTTGTGGTTCAGTCCTGCTAGCGGGTGATCACAACTAATGCCATCGGTTCATCAGTTGAGCTGACAGACCTCTCTGCACCGCGGGAGAGGGAAAACGAGAACGCCGCCGCAACTCGACTCATATGTCTGCTAATTCAGAATCAGAATAAGCTTTATTATCATTGCACCGAAGTACAGCGAGATTATATTCCATACAGTCATCAGAAAGATGGGTGGAGTGCATGTGGCTGCAGTTCCTAGGAGCACAGCCCCTTATTCTTTAGATAAAAAAGGGGAAAGACCTTGAGGATAGATGCTAGGATAGTGGTACACCTTGTCCTCGTCAGGACACGGTTTAAGACATCAAAAAACTCTACCAGCAAGCACATTTGTAGACGCATTACATATGCATTTGACAACAAGATGGTGAGATTTGTCCATGAAGCACTTCCAGATAGCGCCATAGTCCTGATGAGATGTTAAGAGCTGCTACAGTTCTGATAAGATTAGTTCTTATAATTAAACATTATTAACATTAAAAGACAAATATTTGTATTCCCCATATTAAAACAAAGATGTGTGTCTCCATTTAACTTTAGTTCATTTCCCCCCAAAGCTCACAAAGTTTTCTCGGTGGTAAAGTCTTGTCCCAAAGAGCTGCAAAGGATGCTGGGTAGTCTTGTGGAAATTATACGTGCAATGCTTCTAATTGTTTACGATGTTTCTGAGTGTGGAAATGAGTTGTTCTTGTTTATGTTCTGTTCAGGTTGGGTTTAGCATTTATGTTAAAGTCTCTGGCCGTAAACTGTCCCCAGGAGTCAGAGGTTGTTCCCGGTTGGTAGAAGGGGGGAAAGCACTGAAAGGGCGAACGCGAGTGCACGTGACGTCAGGGTGACACGTAGCTTAGCTTATCAGAGCATAGCATTGTTTCATGTCAGTCAACATTTTCTTGTACGTTTTTTGGGTGTCTTCCAAAAATGTACGTTCTGTACGCTCGTGAAAATGTTGAAAATTAAGAATGACACCTTAATAAGTTACTTTTTCATTTTAAATTAATTTCTAGGAACAACGTTTTTAAGACATATATATTCCAGCTTCTCGATGGTGTTTTTTTTTTTAAAACAAACAAACAAAATATAAAAGTCATGTTTCTTTACCTACCAAGAACAGTTTGACTCCTTTATAAGTATGCAAATTAAAAAACATTGAAGCACATTTATTAAAAAAACGTATATTCTTATATTTTAGTTCAACCCGTTCTCTTAAAAGCTGGAACTGACGACCTCTTTTAACTCACATCTCCTACAATAGAACCAACATTAGAGTCCTGCTGCTCACGATTCAAGATTTAAAAAAAAAAAAATCCAATTTACAGTTTTTGAACAGCGATCGTTTGTTTGAGGCTTATTTATCAATCTGCCTCGCAGTAACTTTTCTGTCAAGGAGTGACAGACACAGTTCTGTGGTTACCGTGGTAACTATGAGTTACTTGGTTCTCTTCACATCCTATACATCAAAATGTAGGAACTTTTTTAAAATTAAATTGTCACAGAGTTGATGAAGTTTTGGGCAGCAGCTGCATTTCCACCTCTTTGCTTTTTATGCCTCTCTTGTTTTCTCATTAGTTTTTTTTTTATGTTTTTTTGCAAATTCACAACTTTTACAAGTTTCTTTTATGTTGAATAATTTTTTAAACATTGACTTTGTCCTCACAGCAGCACTTCTTTAAAGCGTGAACGTTATATTCACTGTAAACGTCTGGTTCTGTCAGGTTCAGGTTGGTTTGGGTCAGCTCTGGTTTGACTGGTTTGGGTCAGCTCTGGTTTGACTGGTTTGGGTCAGCTCTGGTTTGACACTTTTTTGTTTGATATGATGGGGGAGAGATCTCAGTGTGTTTTCACTCTGTGTTTTCTTGTCAGATCCTCTGTCGATGAGTCCACAGAAAGCCCTGGAGACCATCGGAGCAAATCTACAGAAGCAGTATGAGAACTGGCAGCCCAGGGTGAGTGAAGATGCTTCCCTCCTCTTCCTCCGTGCTCTTCAATGATACATGGACTCGCATGTCTTACGCACAGAGCTGAATCAAACGGGGATCTATAGGATGATTCTCTCCTTTGGTGTCAAATTAGTGTCCGTCGTGCTCTCTTGCTCTCGCTTTCTTTAATATCGAAACGTTTATTTGAGCCTGAGGTCAGTCGTTTACTTATTTAGTGAAAATTGAGGCAAACATTTTGCTTTTCATATCTGTCGTACTTCTATAAGTTGTGGAAACAAAACACCCACGTGCTCTTCACTGATGCCGACGTGATTCATATTTTTATTCATGTTCGAACTGTAATTTGTTTATTAGAAGGTCGTGTCATTACAGAAGTTGCTCTTCTTGGTGTTTAGGTTGGTCCTGATGGAACAAGGTAAAAGATTTTACAAAGATACATTTTTAGGTTGTGCAGAAAAACACATCTGTCGAGTAAACCGTCGGTGTCAAGGTCAGAGATTTGTTTTGAAAGCAGCCAGTGAGCTAACTAATGCTCAGGCTAGGAACTAATTCTTGCTTTTAAAAAAACTTCAAAAATGATGATTTAAAAACTAACTTGTGACCTGATTTTAGTGGTGAAGAAAGGTTTCAGCAACTCTTTCATATAATTCATATTTTATACCATTTTTCTCAAGAGAATACAGAATATTTTACAGACGTAAGATGTGAAATATACAATAAAAATATATGTGATTTGGTACAATATGATATTGAATGAGAAGCTATATGAGATGACTAGATGACAAGATGTGTGATGTGATATGAGACGATGTGATGAGATATTATATAAAACAATATAATAAATACAATATGCTACAACGCAATATGGTTTATGCATTATGCTAAATGAGATGCATGATGTAATGAGTTGAAATATGATATAAGAGGATATTAATGATACAAAATGACATGATGTATATACGATAAAAGATTATATGACTTGATACAAGATCATACAAATGATACTATACGAGGTGATCCATCTTTTTTTTTCATTCAACCTTTATTTATTTTTTTAATATCTTATTTTTTATATATATATTTTTATATATCTCAGGTGACACGAGTTAATGTATGATACAATATTATATGATGTATATGACTAGATATAATACAATACAAAATACAATTTATACAATGGAAGATGTGTAATTTGATACAATATGATACAAAATATGTACATATATGCATATGCGTGTGTGTTTGTGTGTGTGTGTACATATGATAGATACATACAATTTGATATGAGCTGATACGACATATAATACATGATGAAATATGTGATACAGTTGGAGGGAGAGAAATTGTGTATGATTTAATGATAAAATGTCTGATATGAGATGATACATGAAACAATACAAGATAAGATATATGATGCAATACAAAATGTTATGGTTGTGTCGTGATGTTTTTTCTTGCATAAAATGGTAAGATATGATACAACCTTGTATGATATTACGCAACTTTGTGATACAACTTGACGTAATATGATACACAATACATGACCTGCAGTAACATCCCTGTGTATCAGCTCTGCAATAGTCAAATTGTTTGTTTTTCTGTAAATAATAGAAAAAAATTATCATTTTTTTGTAGCGAACTCTTGACCCATTATTACAGGTAACTTCTGTTTCATCATCTGAATAAAATTTAGTAAAATTTAACTCGTTTATTGTTCATTGTTGCCACAAAGTGACTTAAATCAGTGAAGATCTGGGTAGTAGTGTTTTTTGAATAATAGAAAATGTAACTTTTTGGCAACACCACAGTAATTCTTGTGTTGAACAGTATTTTGCTCTGTGCTTTTAATGTAGTCGGGTATAAATGAATGGGACAATGGGTTTATTTCTGTTGAGACTTTGTGTCTAACCGGGGAAAAGTATTGTTTTGTGCAACGTGAGGGGTTTGATGAAGTTGTGAGAGTGGAAAAGCTGCTAAAAATAATAAAAACAAATAGGTCGAGCTGTAGTTGCATACACGTGAGAAGCCTGGCATTAAAATGCACATCATCTCGTTGGTGTGTCGCTGCAATCTGTGAAGCAGCCAAAAAAAAAAAAACTCTTGTCACGAGGAGGCAGAAATAGAAATATAACAGCATGCTGGTTGGTTTGATGATTCAGAAGAAATATAGATTGTAAGAGGAGGTGGAGAAACAACGGCTCTGGAGACGAAGCAGCTAAAGAAATGTAGGCTTGGGTTTGGTTGACCTGAGAGGTCAGCCGCAAACGGTGGGAGGAGGAGGAGGAAGAGGAGGAGGAGGAGGAGGGTGAGAAAGCTGTTTCTGTTTCCAGCCTGAGGAGTCAAAGCTCTGCTGCATTATTCGCCAACACACCTTACATAAAGTGTTGACAAAGCAATCAATTACACCTGTTTGTCTCATCGGGGCCAAATATTGGCGTCAGTAATTTAACACAAGTCCAGTTGGTAAACGTTAGGCCTATAGGACCAAATGAGATGAAAATGTTTTTTTTTTTGACGTGATGTGTTCTATAAGGAAAAGTGTTGTGTTGTCAGCTCTGCTGTCACAAATCCATGTTTCTGTTTCCTTCTGCGCTCGAACATGAACCCTGATGGACGCAGAACAGAAAAGAAAGCTGACTTCATCCCAGCTGCCCACTCTGTACTGACACTGCGTCCAGCCTTTTCTTCATCGGTCACTTGTTCCCGGACTTCCTTCATCATCGCTTTTCATTCCACATTGTTGAAATATTTCTGTGTCCATCCATTTTACTGCTTCTTGTGTGTACAGCTCTTTATTTTACTCTGTGTTGTTTTATTGTGCAGAAAATAAACCAAAAAGGGGGGAAAAGATGTTTTTCCGTCTCCTGACATTGCTGATGAATCCTCAGATTGTTCAACAACCTGTGTGGCTACAGTGATGTGTGATCAACTCGACACCTAATGTGTGCAGCTTCAAAAACTCCCATTGAATCCCACCCATTATAGCTAAATGTTATTTTAAACATTCACTGCATTTGCTAAAATATTTATCTGGGCATTTTGTTCATGAGTGATGTAGGATAGAGCGGGAGATGGATTGATGGATCAAGACCTCGTCCTCTGTAATGAGGGTGCTGCTTCGCTCGGTCGTGGCGACAAAGAACTGAGTCAAAAGATAAAGCTCGGGATTTACTGGTCTATGTTCTAACTCCTGTGACCTTGAGGCTTGGATCATGAAAGAACCAGATCCTGGACTGAAGTGGCCGAAATGAGCTTCTTTTATATGGTGACTGGGCTCGGCCTTAAAGGGTGAGGAGCTCTGCCATCTAGCGGGAGCTCAGAGTAGAGGCTAGGGATGCACGATATTATCGTTATGGTATCGGTATCGGCTGATATTGGCGTTAAAGTTAAATATCGGACATCGGCCATTCCATCAGAATAACTCACCGATATAAAAGACACTGTTTTTGTTTGACAACCCAGTGACAGGGATGCCCGCAGCGCCAGCACAACATGATGACGTCTCGCGCGCCTACCTGATCTGATCACGGCGGCCAGGAAGAAGTCAAAATGTCGGCGGTGTGGAAGTTTTTTTCGTTGAGGATATTGGATTCCAAAAATTTTTGGACTACATTGAGCCTCGCTACATCGTCTCCAGTCGGATATATTTTTACTTACCCGAGTTACAAGCTGTTATTTCCGACATCGTTAAGAAGCTAATAGTCGATAGCACCTGGGTGAGTTTTACCACAGACATATGGACATCAAATGTTAGCCCCGTTAGCATGATCGGTCGTATGGCACAATGGATAGACAAAAGCTTTGAACTTAAAAGGCTGCGCTTTGTGCACAGAAGTGCAGAGGATCCCACACTGCAGCTATAGGAACCTGGAACAATCCTCCACAAGTGAGACAGCATCGCAGGTGACTAATGCTAATAAACAACATTTAACACTTTTCATTTAATCTAAGTTAAAGTGCTATACATATTGTTAATGAATCTATGTCACCAGCTCTTTCAGCTGTTACACAATTTTTGTAGCAAATAAGCCTAAATAAGAGCGCTATGTTCTGACAAAGGAATGTATATTAAAAATATTGGTATTGTTTATCGACCAAATAAGTTTTCACATATCGGATATTGGCCAAAAATCCAATATCGTGCATCCCTAGTAGAGACGCTGCTCCCCCGCATCAAAAGGAGTCAGTTGAAGTGGTTCATCAGATTAGAATGCCTCCTGGGCGCCTCCCTTTAGAGGTTTTCCAGGCATGCCCCACTGGTAGGAGGCTCCGGGGAAGACTAAGAACTTGCTGAAGGGATTGGGTATTTTCGCTGGCCTGGGATCGCCTCGGGGTCCCTCAGGGGAGTGTTGCTGGGGAGTGGGAGGTCTGAGTTTCTCTCCTGGACCTGCTGCCTCCGCGACCTAACGACGGAAAAGTGCTATAAGATAGAGATGGATTAAACTTTTGCAAAATAGTGGGAACTGTTGTGAACTTTTGGAGATCCAAGTTGTTTGGAGATGGCAGTTTTAGTCTTGGACTTGTTAGCTCATCAGTCCAGTTTCTGTTTCTCCAAACTGAAGTTGATCAAAAAGCTCCTCAACAGGTCGCACATTAACAGTTTATAATATTTCCACTGCCTTACTACAAATTGACAGGAGTTTATCTCAGGCCGACCAAATTCTTACTTCTGACAGTCTTGATGCCACGTTTCCTGGTTGAGCTGCCTCCATGTTTCCAGCCTCCTTCAGTTTTTATTGACTCTGGCTTTATTAGGCTTTAGTAAGAGGTTCAGACTGAGGCTGAAGTCAGCTGAGGATTTCAGTACCTTACCTATCAGTTTAGCTTTCATTTTCTTGTTGTGTATTCTGCCTCGATGTGTCTGGGCTGCTCTCTTATTCTCTTTCAAGCTTCACATGTTCACTTTCATTTTTTCTGCGCACGTCGCCCTTGTTTCTGTCTCGCATGTAGTTATTTGTTTGCGATCCCCGTTTGAAAGTCATTCCTCCACACTTGTTTGTTGTTAT